TGTTGTGTTACTCAGACTCATTACAAAATGAAGATAAAGCAAAAATGGTTATTAATTGTCTGATGAGCATTGCTGGTAAGATCAGTTTTAGTTTTTAATTGCCTGGAAAAAAAAACCATCTTAAAATTGTAGGTATTTATGGAGAACAAGTTATTTTGGTCCAGTATTTACCACACATAAGTGATGTGGTCTCATTGTGCAAACGTAGCAAAATGACCATGAATCTTGAAAGCGGCCTAATTGGATGTGTAACTCTATTGAAATGCCTAATGTCTTATTTCAAAAAATCTACACTCAATGAAATCAGTCAAGTATGTAGTATATAATAATGTTTTTAATTATGATTATTAGTATAATTTTTTTTAAGGACACATTATGTAAAGGAATTATTCATCCAATGTTAAGAATTTTGTCGTCCCAAAAAGTAATTTTCCCATCTGGAGCATCAAGCCGTAGTAGTTTTGCTACAAAACTGTTTGAAACCATATACTTCTTTGGCCTTAAACAAGGACATCTAATTTCAAAAACCATACAAAGATTGTTTTTGGTATTTGATAAATTGAGGCATGTTGATCCACTTAGTATGGCTGATACCAATCCAAGGTATAAATATTACGTAGTAATCTTGAGTTAATTTAAATTTAAAATTTGATTGTGTTTATGTACAGAAGTCAAACTATTGAGTTGAATAACAGTGATTCTGGGGACTCTCCTTCTACAATTAGTGCTGATAAGTCAAATGTCAAAACGAAAGTCAGTAATTACCTAATTTACTTGCAAAAACAAATATTATGATTATGTTAATTTAGGCTATGGAAGAACTGTGTAAGGTTTTAACGCCACAATTAGCTTATCATTCCTATACTTTATTTGTAAAATACTATGGAGAATTATTTATGCAAAGGACATTGATCAATTGGAATTACATTAAGGAATTGTGTGTCACATATAAAGAAGAAAGAGTATATTCTGGTTATGCAAACATTGGTGTGTAAAAGAATTATACTGTACATTATTATCAAATATTTAATTAAATATTTTAAAAAATCTAAATTACTATTATTATTTTTATGTAGATTACAATGATGGTACTATTAATTTTGAAGAACAGCTTGGAACTCATCTTACTCTCAAAGGCAATAAAATACATTTACAGGTAATGTCAAAAATCTAAATAATTGATTTAAAATCATGCTCAAGTTTCTATACTTGCTGATTTATTTATTTATTGCAGTAAATGTCGAAACATATTAATAAAACATTTTTTTTATTTCCTCTGGTAATTTGTTTATGTATAACTTCCATAATATAATATTTAAATTTTAGGATGAAGAAATAGAAGTAGCTGAAGATGCTAAGACTATAGTGGAATCCTCCAGGTATAAATATCTACATTTTGAATTTTAACTAAAAAAATAAAATGATACATTACTAGTACTACTTTAATAATGTCTGAAAGTGTTATGTCCTAATAATCTTTAACAAGTATAAAAGTAAAATATCAATATTTTTTTCTAAAATAAGTTTTAATTATAAATCAAATAAAATTAAATATAAATTATATTTATTTTTAAACAGACATTTAAGAGGAAACTGGTTAGCTTATTGGGAACATGAAATTGGACGTAATAGTCATGATACTTGGTTTAATTTTAAACAAATCAAGTTACAAACGTTTAGTGGTCATCAATCAACCGTAAAGTCTTTAAGTGTACTTGATAATGAAAATAGCTTTATAAGCTCTAGCCGTGACAAGACTGTTAAACTTTGGTCTTTAAGAAATCAAGTAAGAATTAATTTTCTATACTTATTAAGTAAATATTTGACAAATAATTTTTCTAGGGGGACGGAAATGGTGTATCACAGTGTCAATATACTTATTCCAGGCACCGTAAATCCGTATTGTCAGTTGCATATTTGGAAAAATTTAGAATGGTCGCATCCTGTGATTCTTCAATACATGTCTGGGATCCTTGGTGTGGTGGACGCCTCTTGAGTTCAATGAATGGTATACCTGTTAATATCCTTAAATGCCTACCAACTCCTCATCCAAATATATTAGCTGCCTCTACGCAGCCAACCCTACATTCTATTGATCCTAGAAATGGAAAATCTGTAGCAGAACTTAAAGTGAGAACCTCAATATTCTATAAGTTTGTATGTTTTAATTTATTCATTACTCCTTTTAGATATCTGTCAATGCCACTGGCCTCATAAGAAGCATTGCTGTACCTACTGATGCTCACTGGGTTGCTGTTGGTCAGTCATCGGGTTATTTGACTGTTATTGACCTGCGAACTGGCCAAGCTTTGGCCAACTGGAAAGCTCATGAGGGAGAAGTAATGGACAACTTAAAATATAAATTTGTTCTGTATTAATAGTTTCATTTCCTAGGTATTACAATTGTTGGCTGTAGATTCCAATACAGTTGTCAGTTCATCTCTTGACCAATCATTGTCTGTTTGGAATGTTTCCAATGGCAATCTAATTTATAATATGAGGTATCAACCAATGATATATTCAAATAATGTTAAATGTATAAAATTTTGTACCCATTAATTTTCTTTTACAGGGGATCACCTGAACCAGTCCATTGCTTAGGCCTTCATAGAAATGAACTAATTTCTGGTACTACAGCCAATCGTATAGGAATTCATACAGGATTTACCAGTGAAGCATCATTTTCCTCTACTAAGATAAGAGCTGATACATTTAAAGGAGTCTTAACTACAATGTCTGTACTAAGTCTTAATCAATTATTATTACTTGGTGCCGATAGTGGCAATATCACTCTTTTATGCTAAAGGGTACCCCTTATATATAAGTTTCTCACTTTAAATACCTATATTCAAAATAATTCCAATTTTTATTCCATGATGTCTACATTTACATAATATTCAGGGTGATTTTTACTGTCAACTATTTGTTTATAGTCTGTCTCAGATAAGAGTAACCTCAAGTTGTCGACTTCTGGGCGCGGTGGTGGAAATGGATGTGTGTAATGTATACAGGGGTCTTCACTCTCGGAATTGTCACAATATTATTTCAACAACAGTCTAGCTTGTATTTTGCATAGATCTGAGTCTGACCGAACCGGATTAAATCGGTCACCACCTGAGGTTACTCTTATAGACGTCACCTAAGCTAAGAGACAGAGTATAGTCAATATCTTATTCAACATTTATACATTTTTTTCAACTTTGAAGAGTATACTATCATTATTTTTTTTCAAAATTTAATATTTTTTTTTGAATTTTAAATTAGAAAAAACATTTTATAATGCTCAGATTAAATAATGAGTGTTTCATAAATCACTCTGTATATCATATACGATTATATTATATTCCTATTTTAATTAACAATTTATTTTTTATCATTGATATTATAAATACTTATGTGTTCAACACCATTTTTTACTTCATTACCTATCTCTGTACTAAGAATAATAACTAAATACTCCTATAGTTGTATGGATTGTATAAACATTAACTAAACATAATTTAATAAATCAATGGAGAGCTAATGGTCCCTTCAAAATGATTTAATGAATTTAATGTATCAATGATTATTGATTGGTCCATTAATCTTATGACACATAGATACACCTGTATATAGAGCCATGTTCTATATTCATTCATTTATCCTGGGTAAAGTTGGATTATACCGTCTATGTAGGTACTGCTAATATCTATATAATAAAACAAGCCGTATCTCCCGAAATTGACTGTGTCAATATTTTTGTAAATTTATTTAATATTTAATATATATGCCATATTTTTAATAATTTACCATAACAGTTACCTACATGATATGTAAATATGTACCAATGACAACCATTTAAATAAGCAAAAAAATATTCTTTCTTCATGAGCTGAAAAATATATATAATTGCGCTATTCTTTAGCTGCATATTGGATTTGAAAATATAATAATAATTATAAATAATAAGCTAATAATTTATTGTACTCTTAACGTTTTCTTGATATCTCTAAGAACATTTTGAAATCGATCTAGTATTTTTTTTAAGCTCCAAACATATATTTGAATATCATTGTTGTTTTAAGTTATAATTTTCTTATTCAAGGCCATAACGTGACTATTTTATGCATGCTTTTACCAGTTTTATATCATCTGCCTGAGTAACCAATGACAATAATTTATGTACAATTGTACAAACAAAATAGTAATTTCAGATTTCTATTACAGCACTACCTACTATTACTACTAAAATTACTACTACTAAAATCTGTAAAATGTAACCAATGGCAACCATTTCACAGAATAAAAGTGATTACAGCGACACACTGAATAGTCAATGACGGCATGACGATTATATCGTCAGTTACAACTTACACTCGACACCTACACTGTAGGTACACTATACTGCAGTGTACAGCAGCTGAGTGGTTACCTACTTACCTGCCTAAAATTACAAGAAATGTCCTTTTCTATATTCTTCACAGAAGCATTTGAAAACCTATCTTGATGCATAGATGTACGTAACCAATTTTTTATCTTTCTCATAGCTGAAAAAGATCTTTCACGTGTACTTGAGGAAATCGGCAAGGTAGTCAGAGACAAAGATAAAAAAAGTATATAAATTTGGATGTACGACTAATTTGATTTTCTCTAAATCAAAAATCAATTTTGTACTTGTAAGATAGTTTTTGCAACCAATACAGATCCGGTGATGTAATACTTTCTGTATAAAAAACTCGTTTTGTTGAATTAGTTAAATGTTGAATAGTTTTGGCAAGCAATTCTAATTTAAATACTAAGTTACTAACATTAATAACAACAATTGGTTAATGATTATAATTTATTCTATAAATTGATAGGTCCTAGTTATTACTTATTAGTTATTACGGATTAGACAACATACTTGTACTCTGGCCATCGAGTTAGCTAAAAAAAATCCCATGATCGAATTTTTTTTTAATTTGATCTTTTTTTTATTAGATACTGATATAATGGATTTAAGAATGAATATATTCAAAAAAGTTGGTTGGGCTAAGCCCCAAAATATGTTATATTTGAAATGTATAAAAAATAAAAAAACATTATAAGTTACAACTTAAAACTGTTAACTGATTACATAATAGGTGTGAATAACATTATTTGGTAGGTACCAGGTACCTACTTACTACAATATAAAATTAGTTTAGATAAACATTAATTATTAACAGCACCAATTTTTTATACATAGGACAATTTGTAATCTGTGGTAGATATTAGGTAGTTATTAAATATTACTATAAACTAGGTATCTATGTATTTTGTTCATTATTTAATATTTATTGTGATTGTTGTCTCTTACGTTTTCTAACAACTTTTTTATAAGCTTTTTCCCATTTTGTACTCTCTTTGTCGTCATCAGTACCAGGTGGGTGAAGACGCATCTGAAAGTATATTATTATATTGATTAGATTTTAAATTATAGATAACGGTAAAAATTAAAAATACTAATTTTATAAGCCAAAGAAGATAGATGCATCTGCTAGAAGACTATTTTAGAACGGATAGTAATTATTATTTTATTCATATTTATGTAGGTACAAATTATTTGTGAACAATTTTTAAATTAGATTACAAAATTATAGGTATAAAATTACTTGATATGATTTTCTCTATTTTTATAAGGTAAGTACTTAATATAAAATACAAACAATATAATTCTTATTTAATACTTAAGTTAGTAAATATTAGGTCAGGAGGGTTATACTTTAGTACTTAACCACTATACAGTTAGTACTACCTAGGTACCTATAATGTATATTATGATATTGATCTGGTATATCTATATTCTATATATACAATAAATGGTATATAATACACATCTTTAAAATATATAAAGTATAATTTGATTTCTACAATTATTTTGATCAGCATGTTTATAAGCGTTAGGGTTCAGCTCTCTCTCTCTACATTTAATCACATTCTGTAAACTTAGAAATTAAACTTTTTTTATAGTATTATTTAATAACCCTTCCTCCCTGAAAATGTCTTTCTTGTGTATGGCCTTGCAGCTATTAGTTATTAGTTATTACCTACATATTTCATTTATAAAATTCTTAATATTTGAACAAATGTAGTTTGGAACTTAAATTATTATATTTATTTTTAAAAATAGATTGTTGTAAGCTTGTAACAATATATTAATATACCTATAAAGATTTATAATTTATAATTTATATTAATGTGTATATTGACCAACACCAGCAAGTAGCAACTAATATAATAGATATTGATATACCTTTGGTTTAAATATTATGTGCCGCACCTCAAGTCACTCCTATACAAGGCTAAGTACATTATTAAATATAAAATTAGCATATTTTATTATAATAAGCATTAAGCATAATAAAATTAATAAATGATTTCTCTTAGTTAACATGCAAAATATATATAAATATTATGTTATTTGCAAAAATGAAATGTATATATCAGTAGGATAATACAACCTCTTACATTACAGAGCGTTATTTTGTTAGAGTTATTCTAGTCGTTATTTCCGAATAAACTATCCAGTTGTTTCTTCGACAATCTCTTCTGAAAGTTATATACATGTATTAATATAATTTTAATGATTAAGTTTCAATGTTCCATTGTACCTAGTTAATATAATGTGGAACTCCAGCCTATAGCAAATATTTATTAAATTATTATATTATTAATATTATTTATAAATACGTAATACATATACTAATTATTATCTAGGTATAATATGTAAGTAAATATAATCTAAATACACTATGTTGCAGGGGATAGACGGGCCACTGTGTTAGATACTATGCAATACCAGTTTAGCACAATGGGCCTGTGTCATATTATTATGTCCCTAGGGCAGGGCTGGTACAAAATAATCCACCTAGTGGATATAGTTAGTATAATACTAATATTGTTGACAATTTTTTAAGGACCTCTTCTATTTATAGAACACTTCGGTAGTAACTAGTAGACCAACGTGGTCACTCCACTCAACTCAACTTTAAATACTTATAAGAATAGGGCTCTTATTTTAATGCAAAATACATCATTTTTGTGGAAGTCCCCGGCAATGCTTTTCAAGTACAAAATCCGTTTCATACATCAAAGAATTGGAAACATAAACTTTTGGAGCAATAATTATTATAATTTTTTTGTAATTTTGAAAATTTTAATTTTTTTGTTTAAACCTTACACATGATATTCATTTTTAGATTAAATTAAATTGGTCTTTCAAAAATGTTGTTACGACCATTCATCATTTTTCGATTGTACTATTTATGATTTCGATAAGTTGGTGACGTCTTTATCTAAAAATAATTCTAAAAGTTTAGGTTGTAATAGTATAGGGCCGATTTTTTTTCCATATTTTATAGTAGGTTGAATGGGTCCCAGTCCTTCCCTGCTATGTTGTGTATAAAATTTAATAATTTGACAGGTAATAATAAACATTTAGTATATTAATTATATATTACAGAGGCAAACGCGGTGGGGTTAAAGCCCCCCATTTAACCCCCCCCCCCCAAAAAAAAAACCCCAAAAAAACAAAAAAATTTTCCTGTGTTCGCCTCTGATATTTTATACTTTTGTCATAATGCATACCTAATACATTGAAACAGTGATGATCAAACTTTTTTTACCAAAGGCCATGAAAAAAATTCTTGGCCGGCCAATAAGAGTTTAAACTTCCTATCTTGATTGAATATTATATTTTATTGTTGCCACATATTAATACAGGTACAATGATACATTTTTAGACTATTATTTGACCGATAAGAGATGATAAATATTTATTTTTTTTAATTTTGATTTAATTTAAATACTTGTCTGGCCAGTAAATAAATAATCACGGGCCGTACTTGATCACCACTGCTGCACTAATACACGAATATTTTTAATTTTTATAAATAATTTCGTTTTACCATGATTCTATATTTTTCCTTGCAAGCATATTCAGTTTCATCGACATCTTGAAAGCAATCGGATTTGTAGTCTTCGGGTAAAGGTTTTCCATCAAATTCACATAATTTTTTCAAAGGTCTTGAATGTACAAACAGTTTATCAAAACCTAGAATATTAGAATCCTAATTATATTCACTTGAAAACAAAAACAATAACTTTTATTACGCAGTTACCGGTAGGCTTATTTAACGGACAATAAAATACATTCGGTGTTTTTTTGTCGTACACAATCGATTTCCTCATCATATCACCAGCTAATACTACATTCTAAACACATTACAACATTAATGATGATTGATATAATTTATACACATATCAAATTAAATAATATTTTGTGCACACATAAATAACAGATATAACAGTTAGCCGTTAGGTACAGCTAATAAATATTTAATTATTTATTTATTTTTTAAAATATTTTCTTTTAGTTTACCAGTATTGAGAATAAGAAAAGAAGTTGACATGTAGATAGATCTGAAAAATACAAATAACATTTGGCTTTAAATTATTATGTTTTAAATATTATGGTGAAACATAAATGCATTATATAGTATTGCACATAAATATCTAGGTACTTAAATGTTGGGAAAATATTAAATAATATGTAATAATAACTTAAATATAAATTTCAAAATTTTGATAGAGTGCCCTGTTTAACGAAATAATATGTTTAAAAAACAGGCAACCCCCCTTAAAAACTGTCTAGGGACGCCCCTGATATGTATATAGTTTATTCATGGTAACAGCTGAGGAAGTCAACTTCTCCTTGATAGTAAGTATACCACGTAGTAATCAAGAAGAGCTTTTTGTATATTACTATAATTTTCTTGGCTGAAAATATTTATGCACGGAACACAGAAGTCTAGAACAATGTATTCTAATTTTTAATTGGGTAAAGGTCATGTTAATATAATTTTAAAAACTAGGTTTACTGTACAAAATATTATATTATATCATATATATTATGATAATATGTATAATATTGGTATAGATACAGAAAAACCGGGTTTGAGTAGTTGTATTTCTAGTGCAGTTACATCCATATATAGCGGTGGAACTATACTATCTAGGTCACTCATAGATAATAATTAGGTACAATACATGTACGAATGTACGATGTACCTATTATTTATTATTTATATGGAACCACCGTTGTCTTGGTCCAGAATAATCGCGATACCGTATATGAATAACGTATTTCCATTTTTTATAAACATTTTGTAATTTCTGTGCTAAACTAATTAATTAAAACGAAATGCATCACACGTTTTTAGAAAATTACTAAGTAGGTATCCAGTTTGCATGGCAAGGTACGCACACATCTTCAGTCACCTATATATTTTATTCACACTTCACAGTTCAGAGATTTCTGCTATTGCGGTAGGTACCTGAATTGTAGGTAATAGGAATAGACAGCGATTATTATATGAATATTTACTTTAGTAGCCACGATCGTTATTAAGAATTTATTTTGCTTATACGTGGGTAGAATACTGTATAATTATTACATATTGTGTAGGTTTGTAAAATCCAAACACAACCTTATACAAGAACAGGGTGATTCATTAAAGTGTTTATACTCTTTATTATGAAGTTTTAAATTTTTTGAAAATAATTTTTTTACATATTTTGAATGCATTGTTGCAAGCATTTGAATTATAAGTATACAATTACAATTTTTTATCGTTTTCTTTTTTTTTAAGTATTAAATTTTTAAATGACCACATACATTTATATAATTGTATACTCCGAAGCAGGGTATAGATTAGAAAAAATGATTTTTGTAGGAATATGTAGGTAAATAAGGATGTATTATTTGTATTATACCTATAATTTAAAATTATATTTTAACCGTTAGGCTACAAAATAATAAGTACTAACCTATAATATTAGAACGGCTTCCATTAATATTAAAATATTCCATAACTCTTACACAATCTTAAATAGATAGGTATAAAAAAAAAACAAAAATCTCAAAAAAACTGTAATGCTTTTCGGTATGAGTGTTATTTATACACTATAAATACGGCGATCCTTTTAAATAAATATATATATAGTAATCATCTCAAGAAATTCATATTATATTATTTATAAATTTTTTTAAAAAAATCGTTTGTATAAAATTGTTTGTATTACACCAAAATCAATAGAAAAAAATCTACTTCGTAATATATAAAATTAAAATATATTTTGTCCAGCGATTAAAAAATTATAACGATATAAATGTAAAAACACAAAACCAAATGAGGTATAGATTTTCTTATACCTATTTAAAAATGTTTCTAGGAAGGCAATTCTATTTGAGATACTGACTGACTAATGAGTAATAATGAGTGTTTACAGTTAAAATAATTATAATTTAAACAAAAATTTAGGTATATTAAATAATAAATTATGCTAGGCATATAGGTATACTTATACTTCCATGTGAGCACACAGAAATGCACTGGCTATAGAATAATATTGTATTATATTACATACACAATAACTGAATACGTAAAAACAGTGTCTTTATTTAATTCCAAGCTATTACTAAGGCTGTAAAAATTAACAAAAATTAATCTAAATTTGTTAAAACAATATAATTTACCCATGTTTCTTCAGTTTTAAATTGCAATCGTCAAATTAAACAAAACTTTTAACTAAGTATAAAACAATAAACAGCACAGATTTAATATTTTTTTCATTGCTTACATACACGGACTACGGACACTCAGTAAAGGACTGCATAAAGAATGTAAAAGTATTCACTGTAGCCTTCTATACGTTCTATGACATCACATGTATACCTACGTCTGGTTATGTTAGCAATAGTAGTGGGCGTTAACCCACGTTACCTGGCACAAGTAACAGGAAACCAGTTATTTTAACAATACGCGTCAAGAATGGAAAGGGAACATTCTAACTGATTCTTGGGTTCACTGATTTCATTGGATCATTATAATTTATAGTTGTACATAAACGTACTATCTTCGGACCAAATAATACCCATTCATATTCATAATAAGTCTCTATACTTATTAGGTTACGTTACCCATATCATCAATGTGTTTTCTGCTAGTGATGATTAAAAAAAAAGTATCAAATCCGCGGTGTTGATATAAAGAAATACGAATACAATACATTTATTATTAGGCATATATTTGGACATTGTATAATGAACTTTGATCATTTATAAAAATGTTTTCTCATTTTAAAATAATAGACCGGTAAAGGGGGCAGTCAAATTGCAAACAATAAAAAGTTTATTTAAAAGTATTTCATTTTGTCCAGTAATATAAACAGAAAAATAAATATTTTAATACTTAAGTAAATAAATATAAATGTACAATGTCGGTAATTAAAACGTTGTAGGTCATACTTATTTTAAAGAAAACTAATAAAATTAAATTAAAATTAGTTTTAAAATTTTGAAAAGATAAACATCAACTTACCTACCTATTACAGTATTTCAAGGTAGGTATATTATGTCCTTGCATAATGTATATTATAGTGTATAGGTACCAGGCAGGTATCTTCCTTTGTATATTTTTGTTTAATGTTTACATATAAATTGGATAAGCTTAAACTCAAAAATGTATCGAAAAATGAGATGATGTAATGATGTACCAATAGGTTATAGTCACGATTTAATATTTATCCAAATCGTAAATTCATGGTTATAGTTAATATTATATTATGTATATAAACTCATATAGATAAATATGCCACGACATTTCTACTCACACGTTAAGCATCTCGGCGGAGTACGATTGAGCGCGTCTTACCTTTTTGGGTATACGATTACACGCAGTGCCGGAATAACAAACAATAAATAACATGATTTTGAATATGCAAAGCCGAGTTCATGTTGTAATATAAAAAAAATGTTATTAATTATTATACTGCTAATGGATACATAGTAAGTCTACCAGTCTACGACTCTACTATTACTCTATTATTATATATACCATCAATACTGTAGGTACATTGTTTTTTATGGCACCCCCATTTGACATAATGTCTATCATCTTGTTGTCTGATGTATTGAAATTTGTGCCTATTCACTACGAAAAAATCACTTCCCCTTTCCTAAGTTATATGGCTAATATATATTATTATATATAGGTATTAGCTTATATTCCTAAATTACATTAATATATATGTTACGGGTAATGTTAACATTCGGATAATGTCGACATTAGCCATCCGTGTTGGCTAATGTGTAATTTTTCGTTTATAAACTTGAAATATCAACATTATCCGGATAATGTTAACCTTAGCCAGTCAATTTTGGATAATGTTAAAAGTTATGTACTAAATAGGCTATAGAGATTACTGATTAGGTAATAATATTCAAGTGGTGAATGAAAATTGTTGTTCGGGACAATCGGGAGCATCAAAGGACGAAGGATTATGTGACTTAATATATTTTATAAGATAGGTATATGATATTGATATTTGAAAATTTTAAATTGCCTATATTTTTCTAAATAACTAAATATAATATAATAACTATTTTTTTTACAGAAATCAATCGATAATAATAAAATAAATTCTGAAATTTGTTTGATAAATCCAGCTGAAAAAATGAAATTTAGGTCTATAAGTTTCCCCCTAGCTAACGTCGGAGATAGTGTGAGAGTCACTTTACCCGATATCGACAGAGGACGAGCAGACCCAAGAAATATTTTATTTGCAGTTGTGACTATTGAGGACGAACAATATTATAAACTTGGTACTAAATATGGTACTTTGCTACTGTTTTATACCAGAAACCAGTTGGTGTTTGTCTGATATCATTAATACCGCTTGATGAGGTGGTACCTATAGAAAAATCATTGAGGGAAATTGCTGGTCTAATATCAGATGGTAGTGATGGTCAAGGATACAAAAGGTATTCATTCAAAGGTATAAATGTGACACCAATCGTTGTAAATGTAAATCATCTAATATTTTGTGTAATTCAAAATATCATGGAAGTATGCCATGTAATAATAAATAATAACACATTAATTCTATTCTTAAATACTAATTTAAAAAAAATCTTAAAATATAAAATAAAATTTAATATTGTATTATTAGTATAAACTCATTTAAATTATACTCGTATTATGTATTTTATGGTAATTAGTAATTATTGTATCTTTTTTTTGCATATGGTTAATTGTATCTAAAATATATTTAATATTGCTAATAATTTAAAATGATTTCATATCATGCATGATGCAATTTTATAGTTGTTAAGACATTATCCATAAGTCTTTGGCTAATGTCATATTAACCGGTTAATGTTAACATTAGCCAGAATTTAATAATATTCATGGCGGGTAATGATAACAGTTGGCTAATGTTGACATTAGCCGGATAATGTCGACATTATCCAAATGTTAACATTACCCGTGACATATATATAAGTTATATAAATTTCATTTTCCATTCAAAAAAATAAGCATAACATTAAAACTGCGAAAAATCGCCTAGACTGACACGGCTGAAACACGAACACATCTGACAGCAACTGAATGGACAGTTGGACCGGTACACCATGCGATATTATAGTATAGCCTATAGGAATATTGAAATATTCGTACTAAAATATATGGAAATTTACAATAAAGACAATAATTCTGATCCAATATACAAGTGTGATCTAAAATAAAACCAATTAGTTCTCAGTGATGGGAAGTTTGTTTGTTATCGGCTGTAATAAGTGATAAATAATCTATAATAATAATGTAAGTACAGATGGAGACAATCCGTATGGATATTTACCGTGTATATGTACGTTTATATATTTAGCATCATTGCTTAGAGATACAAATAATATAGCACTTGCAATCCCACTCTTAAAAAGGGATGTACCACCGATAAGGACCATGTCTCGCCCAAGCATCTCAGAAAGGTCGCTGCCTACATGGGCGAACCAGGGGGGTTAAACTACCCCCCCCCCCCGAAATTAATGTAGGAAATAGTGTAGGTAATACTGCATTGTGAATAGCATGACATTTTTATGAATATTTTAAATTTTTTCAAAAACCACCCTCGTAATTTTTGCCTACCTCCGCCTCTATAAAGACTATTGATATTATATGGTTTTGAATACTTCGCGCAAACCTAGGTTAAGGTAAAGTAATACATGTATTTTTTACATTGAATGAGCTTTGAGTTTATATATTAGATATATTAATTATAATTTTATTATAAACGGCGTACCGAATATTTGTTTCTCCTTGTTTGCTTGTTCAGATTCCTTTGTGTTTATAACATCTTCATGTTTAAAATGGTTTTGGAAAACTCTGGGGCTTTCTTTTAATGAAGTACAAAGGGGGCCCTTTCTCAGCCTATCTTTAAAGATGAATTCTTTGGTATACTAAATGAACTAATTTTAATACCCTTTTTTAGATATAATGGCGCACAACACGACATAACATTGAATTTGAAAATGCAATAGTAAATTCAATATTAATATATTTCATGAAAATCATATTATGTTAATAAGCAATAAATATTAAAAATAAATATTTAATACTATCTTTACTATGTTTTCGTACTATTATACTACGACTATGATAAGTGGTAACCACGATCTAAGACAATATAAACTAGTATTATTTAATGTATTATCTTGATATTATTTATAAATAATAATCACGATTTAAGAGGACATGAGATGTCCGTAAATTTGATACTAAAAACCTTTTTGGGTGGGTAACAACCAATCTGCAGTGGGTAATCCTAGTACAGACACTAAATGTTTACACAATATAAGATAATATTTTCCGTGTCGTAGCGTATTTCTTTGTTTGATATACTTAATAAGAAAAAAGTTATATTTGTTTTAAAAAACTGATATTTTTATATTTTTTGAAATGAAGTAACTTTTGATATATTGGTTTTATCGAGAAAATAAAAACGAATAAATTCATAATTTTTTGAAAAAAGCGGGAACATAGTTTCATGAAAATCTCGATAGAGCGCTCTGGCAGTTAGTTAAACACATGAACTAAGATAACCTAACCTGCACACGGTCTTTCAATAATTGTGTGATAGGGACAAACCACGGTTTAAGATAGTACTATCTTATATCTATAGCCGACAGCCGTGCTCTTCTTACTTCTTAGACATATTTTGCTATTTGCTAGGTACTTTGTTTTAAGTGCATTTGTCTTTATAATTAATAATTATATTTAGTTCAGTTTACCTATTAAAATGACCTCATTCACTAATAAAAATGTTTTGAATTTATTGAGAAACCTACCGAGACTCTCAATTTCTAACCTTCGAAATAATGATGGAGCAGTAAAAAAAGTAATTAGAAAAAATGATTTTTTATTTTAAAAACAATATCTGCAATTTAACTATTATTAATAACATATTTTTATAATACATTGCTATCCACTTGATTCTTCCGAGGAAACATTTCTATTTTATTTGTATTTTACATGTTTGCTGCGTATCATTTTCGAGTATGGTTGTATAGTGACGTTAAAAAAAATTCTCAAAATTTAAAAATTAAAATAGCAATGTTTGACTTTCGTATATTCATGAAATAATGCTTACAGGATATTCTAACAAAACTCAAATAGTTTAATCTTAATGTTGACCAAATTGTTGTGTGTTTTATAATCATATGCAAACAATGTTAAATGATTCCATTAGACGTCATCCGCAGTGAATGTGTTAACTGTTTGAATATTAATAGTTATGGTTATGTATATTATATTATGATATTTAATAAATAGTATTTATCTTTTGTCCCATTTATTCATTATGGTCCATAAATAATATAAGTATTTTATTTTAGAATAAACGAGGCAGGGCCCAGCACGGAGGTGACAAGCATGGTCATGGTAATAAAGGATCAAAAGCTAGGCAAAACTTTATGAGACCTGGATATGAGACAGGAAATACTCCATTTTATATGAAATTTCCTAGAGAACAATATTACAAGGATCATCAGTAAGTTATAAAATGACAATATTCAAGATAATTTTCCACTCAACATTTTAACTTTTTTTTTAGTGTTAAAAGACAATATCCACCACTATCATTGACCACTTTACAAAAAATGATTGATTTGAATCGTATAGACATTTCAAAGCCCATTGATTTATCAGTACTGTGCAATACAGGTTTATATAACATAAATCCAGAAGAAAAACACTTCGGAGTAAATCTGATTGATGAAGTAAGTTTTTCTTTATTTTCAATAGTGTTTCAGTAACATGACATGGTTATTAGCCATATAGCTATGCTCCTTGGTCCTGGGCGCAAGATTTAAAAGATGCATAATATCATGTTTTGAAATAAAAACCGGCTTTTCGTTTAATATTGTGTTTGGTGTATTTGTTTGTATTATATTATTTTACTATTTAATGATTATTCTTATGTCTGGTTATAATGTGTATAATAATTTAGATATTAGGTACAGATAATGGCACTATATCAAAATATATAGGATCATAGGGTGGAAAATAGTAGGAATTTATTTAATTAATTTTGGGGGCCATCTATTGGTATTTTAGGCTGATTGAATGAGTTTCCTCCTTTCTACCTAAAATTACATGCATTCTTTTACTAGATGTTTTACTGATAACTCTAACAATGCACAATGCATATAATATAGTGAATTATTTATTCATTGTTAAATACTTAGGCATACAGCGGTTGTGACTAGTTCGGGCTGTCATATAGTATGCGGTCTACCGGTGAATTTACGAGTATAGTATGCGGTCTACCGGTGATTTACGAATATAGTATGCGGTATACCGTGAATAAATAAATTTAAAATACCATAATATTATAGTATAATTTATTGTAGTAGTAATGTCTAGTAAAAAATTAATAATTAAAAATTTGTTAGTCAAAAAATTTGTTGTCAATGAATATAAATAAATATAATATAATACGTTATACAAAAACTTCCGCCATATCTCTTAAAAATGCATTAAATAAATCTGATTTATTTATTCCTCGCCACCATGTTTCCATGAGATACCTGCAATAATATGTATACTATTACATTAAATTTATTAAACATAACTTATAATATTTTTACCTTGGAAGGAGATCAGGACTTGTACCACACATATTTTTAACTACTTTTAAGCGTAATGGTCTCCATAAACTTTCGATCCTCTGAGTGTGCGCTTGTGTTAGTGGATCAACAAAATTTTCGCTGTGGTTAACTGTATTATGCGTAAAACCATATTGGGCGATCCCATTATACGCTGGCCATCCATCAGAGTGTATAATAGAACCCAATACAACCTCTCTTTTAATAATGTCATGCAAAGTTTGCTTGTCCCGCTTTTCGACAACAAAATATCGTGCCTCACTATCGTCGCATAATCCAAACACCCAAGGACCATCCATTCGTCTACCATAATTTCTTTTTCCATTTTCAAGAGGGTCGTCATTTTCGTCTTCGATATTTTCACTCGGCAAATCTGCAAGTCGATATCGACCTGTAACAACATAATGATGATTTATAATATTTTATAATTAATATTCAATGTAAAATTGTATTTTATTATGTATTCAATTATAAAATTATAAGATAGAAATTACCTTTATGATTTTTTCTGGATCCTCTTAACAAACATTCGTCGACTTGTATGATGACATCAGGTCCTCCAAATTTATTACGTTTTTCGAACATTTTTAGTGGTATATCCCTACACAAATTCATCCAGTCACATACGGTGTTGGACGATCTTCCAGTTAAGGACATGATTGTTTTATTTGATAAACCTTGAGTCCAGTAGAACACTAGTTCTAACTGTTGACTGAGGCTTAGTCCACTATTTAAACGACCATTCTTGTCAATATAAGTCCAAAAAGCATTATCTTTCCTATATAATAGTATAATTATTAGTAGTATAATTATTATTAATAGAATAATTTTCTCACCTTAAGCTTTGTGTTGTTTGACATCCCTTTCTCTTACAACGTAAAACTCTCCTTTCCTTACCTCTCTCCTTACGTAGGTATAAATTCATTCCACTTCCACACTTTAAACATTCGGTATTTTCATTATTTGCCACAAGATTTTTGCTGATTAAAAAGTTTGTGGTTGATTCGTCACTACTAATTATTGAATAAAAGTCTTTTTCCAACATATTGGGTGTATAAAATATGGTGTTAAAATGTGGTGTCGCGCAATAAATGACATACTGAGCAACTGAGCTATTGGGCCAATACTTTTACAAAATGTTGAAGTATTGTTATCTGTGTATAATGCAATTAAGATAAAGTATATCTAAAAGATAGAAAAAGATTGCGGGTAAAACCGTAGGTAGACCGCATCTTACAGCGGCCGGTAGAACGCATTTGCCGGTAGACCGCATACTATATGACAGCCCTAGTTCGTAATATGTTTTTTTTAAACTACTAATTGTTATGATACAATATGAAAATAGAGTTTCTTCTAGCTCAACTTCACTGTATTCATGTTATATATTTACAGGGCTCACTGTTATAAATTAAATTAGGTATATTGATAAAATTGTTTTTTTAATATTAGGGAGCAGATCATTTCAAAGCAAAAATTAATGTAGAAGTTCAGTGGGCTAGTGAACCTACAATTGCAGCCATAGAAAGAAATGGAGGAGTTATAACGACATCATTTTTTGATGTTAATAGTTTATTTATTTTGATTAATCCTAAAAAGTTCTTCCAAAGAGGTTTGTAAAGTAAATTCTGTAAATATTTTAACATTGTATTCCGAACTATTATTTATATTCATTTTAAAGTAAGACAAAAAGAGTTAATTAAGAGGACAACACACCAGTGTGTGTTTTCTCTGTCTTCCTAACTTAAAAAAAAATTGTGTTAGCAGTTCAAATATTGTGTAATAATCATTGATATTATAGTAAATTTATTTTCATTCTTAAGTATATAATCAGGGTTTTTACAACCCTGAATTTTTGATTAAGTTGTAATGTAGCTCGTCAATTTTTACAATTTAAAAATTCTCATCTTTCTTACAAATAAATATATCTTTAAATAAAAACCATGAGAAAACAGATAATGGTTTTATATTTAAATTTAATACTATTATTTAAATATAATAATTTTCAATTTTGCAATTTCACAGTAAATTATAATATTCTTAAAATTGAAATTAATTTTCTAATAAAATTATCTAATATTTATTTTTTTATACACCTACAGCTTGTATAAAATAATTTTGTACTAAATGTATAATCACAACCCACATCCTCATTTAGTTGTAGTAGTAGTTATTTTAAAATAACATATGTGGTCCTAAAATTACACCTAATTTATTTTTGATCATACTTTGTTTATTTTTATAGGAGAAGCAATACCGAGACGTATGATTCCCCCCGATGATGCAATTTTATATTATTCAAGTGCAGCAAATCGCGGTTATTTGGCAGACCCTGAAAAAATATCCTGGGAACGTTTTGTTTTAGCTCAGAAATATGGATATAAACTTCCTAAAATTGAAGATGATCCAGATTATGACATGCTTGTCAGTAGAAAAGATCAAAGGCAAATATTTTATGGCCTAGAACCTGGTTGGGTTGTTAATCTAAAGGATAAAGTTATACTGAAACCCACTGATCCAGAACTCAAAGAGTTCTATAGAAGTTAAATACATTTTTTGATGTTAGTATTATAATTTATAATGATACGTGTCGTGTAATTTAATATTATTATATACAATACTAAAGAGCATGATTATTACAAATATATCTGAATAATATGTTTTTGGGAAACTTGTATTTCAAAGTTTTTGTTAATAATAAATTTTATAAAATTTTAATTCAATGTATCATTATATTTGTTATTATGAAGAATTAAAATTGTATAGTATTATATTGAATACACTATTTTCTTAGTGTTATCAGACAATGTTATCTATAATATTGTTGAGTATGATTAGTTCACTTATTACTGTCAACTACTTATGCCGAATTTCATAAAAAAAATGATTATTTTAGTAGAAAAACGTTTTTATAAATATACACAAACATTTTAAAACGTCAATATACTCAAATAAATTTAATCTAATTTTCAGTTAAACTGTAAAATAATTCAACTATGTAGATAATTGATTACTATATAAGTTGATACCATTATATTTTCTAATAAAAATTAGCTCAACTTTTTTTAGAATATAAATAGATGTATACAGAATTTGAGAGTTGATTTTGTTCACTGCCAACATTTTTATCAAGTCCTTTATAAGAGGCAAATGGTTAGAATGGGCGGGGCATGCCTGGAGATACACCGATATAATAAAAGACGTTATGATTGGCAATATCAATGGAAAAAGACCCAGGGGACGACCAAGGCAGAGGTGGATAGACGTAGTCAAATCACATTGAAGAATGTGCACCAGGATCAAAATTAGAAGAGTATCTGTCGACAAATGGTATCAAATAGTAGCGAAGGCCCTAAATGGGCTATAGAAGCTTGAAGGAAAAATTAATTTTTTAAAGATATAAAAAATCGGGCTCCTACAATGTAAAACTTCCTTGGATAGGTCTTGACTTAACGATACTGGTTAATTCTGATATCACAATTGTCTGGATAATGGATTACAACTTTACTACTTGTACCCCAAGCAATATATTATTGTCAACATTAGTATAATTTACTAAATGAGAATGAAAATAAACAATTTGTCAAAAAATAGATTTGTATGTCAATTTATAATTATTAATTCGATATTTAAATACATTTACGTAACATAGATAAGTATGTGTTACTTTTGCAGGCATAGAATTTAGAATTGTGTTTTGTATTTCCGATATATTTTATTAAAAAATGTTATTACTACAGGTATACACTAATATATACAAATACATAAAGACAATTATACAATATAGTAGGTACCTACATTATTTTATTATACATATTATTAGGTATCGTTTTCTTTATGTTAATTTAAGTGTAAGTAAACGACATAACAGAGCATACATTATATTATAATTTAATAATCTAATATTAAATAATATATACTATATAAGGCAGCGATTATCAACCGGAGGGTCGCAATCCCTTTGGGGGTCGCCAATTCATGTGGGAAAAAAATTGTTTCACTTAGAATCTTATAATTAATAGTAAGTGTTATAATATATATATATTTTGTTGGATAGTCCGATAGTCGATAAAAAGGTTCATTTAATTTTGCATATTAATATACCTTTTTTGGTAAAATATATATACAAATAAATACAATAATAACAGTTTGTTGAAATTTTTAATGTTTACATTAAAAAGGGTCGTTAGAATAGAATCTATATATCTGATATATTGGTGACATAGGGGGTCGCGAACTCAAAAAGGTTGTGGACCGCTGATATAATATAATATATATCTATTATCTATGGACACTCTCCAAGATTCGTTGGGTAACCATTACTATCTTTAATCGTGGTACCAACCATAGATATGATACCAACCCACACTTTGCGTCATTATGATAAGTGATAACAACTTTAAGGTTAGTTTTATACGAACATCGGTCACTCTAACGAATAACGGCTACTTTCCTATTTCACGGTCGTTTTGGTTTTTACTGTCTGTAAATTCACTGCCGTAGGTTAATATTTTCTATTTAGTATACATTTTACCTGATTTATTAATTAATATTCACAATGTAAATTTCAAAAGTTGCGTGTTTGAATTTTAATTGTCTATTGTAACGATCATCTATTTATTTGGTTCTCGTTATGAGCTTTTAGACATAATAAACACAATATCGGTACAATTATTCTTTTTTCTATGGTGACAATGTTTTCAACGAAATTATTACCAATTGTTCTACTTGGCATTTTATGTGTTAATAATGCTTTTGGATCAAAACTCAACGTTCCCCGTGTGCTGTTGCCGGTATTTGACACGTTCACTGTTAAATTTAATATAGAAGTTACAGATGATGGCTGTTACAAATGGTAAGTGTTTTGATTTGGTTATGTAACTGCGTCTATCCATAGTGTCTATAACTCTTGTACGTTACTAATATCAGTGATTTCTAGGTCAATATTTAGAGGTGACAACATTATCAAACTCATTCCCTTAGATGTGAATCCAACTCTTGGATGTTCGAGCAAAGTTTCTGTGTCTTCACTATCGAATGAGAAAGTTCGCAGAATAGCAATCATATTCGCAGAAGACGCTAATTCTGGTGAAACAATACGTTGCGATGTCATTGTTGATACTATTAAGTCTTTACAGATTGTTACAAAGACAAGAGAGCTCTTTGTTGGAGATGCGCCAGAACTTTTTGAAGTATCTGCGTTTGATGATCAAGGTACTTGTTTGTAATTTAAGATCAGTATACCTAAGTTGTAAAGTTTACCATTTAAGATATACCTACTATTATCCGTACTCTTAAAAAGCTGCTTACTAATACTTTGGTACAAACTCAATAAAAATTTATTATCAACCATATTTATCATTTTATAATATTTTATTCTAGTTGATGGTTCAAATTACTGTACCTATCCATAGTATTTACTAAACATTTGTCATAGATAAAATTATTTCTCCCATATCGATGGTACAACTAAAATTTATTTGAAGTTTGAACCAACATCTTTATGTTGAAGAATTTTCTGAAAATGTTATTTAAATTTATCATTGTATATCTTATATTGAATATTGAACAAATAATTTGTTATTTACCAATTATAGTTGTATAAAACTAAAATAGAATTAATGTTAAAAATAATGAGTGATGAATAGTATGGAAAAATGTGCGGTCAATGTCCAATTTATTTATCAGTTTTGTTTTTACTTTATTTTAGGGAATAAATTTACAACATTGGATGGTGTTGAATTTAATTGGTCTTTAAAAGTACTTAGAAGTCCTATAAACACCGTTTTAAAATTCATACCATTTAAAGATTCTTCATATAGAACTCCACCAGATCTTTATGATCTAGATCAGAATAATAAGCAAGGTCATATGATTCTTGTTGAAGGAGTTAAGACTGGATCAGCATTAGTATGTCAATTGTTTCTGAACATAAAACTATGTATGGTAATATTTAAATAAGTTAAATTTTTAATCAACTCTATTTTAGGTTTCTGTAAAATTGTCAACGTTGGATGAGCCCACCACACAAGTTGAACTATCAGTTATTGCAAATTTAAGGCTTGAGCCGTCTCATGTTGTTATCTTACCCGGTGATCTTATTCATATAGATATTTATCAAGTAATTAACCTTTTAATTACAGTTTATTTGTTACATTGTTTGGTGAGATTTATTTACATTATTTTGATTAGATACAAAATGAAAAATTAGTAAAGATCCAACTACCTTCTAGCCAATATGCTATAGAAACAGATAAATCGTCAAATTCAGACTTGCTAAAAATTGAAAATGATTCGGGTCTGTTTCGTGGTCTTAAAAGTGGTCAAGTTAGGCTAAACTTAATTGATAATCACGCTGAGTCTAAAAGCGATACTATTCCTAAATCAATCAGTAGTTTTGTTAGTATCTCTAATGCAGATCATTTATCAATTGTGGTTAAACCTTACAATCGACGAAATTTAATCATTAATGGTTTATACGAATTGGAAGTTCATCTATTTAACAAGTATGGTATTTAAGGAGAATTAACTATTAATTATCCATTTATATTTATTTTTAATTTTTTCTCTAGTCATAATCAGTCCATTAACATTGGACCCAATGTTAAAGTAATGTTGAATTTACCTGAAGAGTATTTTAAAGTATTAAGTACAGTAAATAATGGATCATATGTTATTGTCCAACCTATTAAATTAGGAGTACCACAGATAGAAGCATCATTACTGAAACCATATCAAGATTCTAGGTCTGCTGCAATAACTTCTGTATCTGTTTATTCAAAAGTGGAAGTAAAACCAGATGTAATAGTTTTCCCATGGCATGCAAACCTAAACAATGGGTAATATGATTGTTTATACATTTTGCTTTATAACTGTTATTAAACTATATAAAAAAAATATATTATTTACTTAGGTAAATGATAAATAATTTTCAAAGATTCAAATCTCGTGAAGTAATATTTAGGTGAGGTTTCTCAACGTTTAATTTAACAAAAAATATACACACAAAATATTTTGCATTTAAATGCGTATTTAGATGTTAAAGAATATTTTATATATAGTGACATGTTTTAAGAATATTTCTACTGTATGGACAATAAATAACTAGTTGAACCTACATACTTCAAAAAAAAATTGTGTAGGTATAGGAAATGGAATTTTAATTTACAGCAACTGGTATTGATAGTATCAGTTTGATACATTTTTGCTGTACAACATATTATAGAAATGGAGATATGGTATATAAGGATACTGTCATAAATTGTTTCTATATGATTCATTTTTATAAAACTTGTTTTTTCAAGTTCTTAATGGTATATTTTGATTTTTCACATTAAAGAGTTACTGCATAAAAACATTTTATCTCCCCATTTATTAGAACATAAAAATCTGGTCTCTTCTTATAGTACCTTGTATTTGTGATATCAATATTACATACATTTATTTATGTAAGTATTTAAGTCCATATATTTTCCCGTAGAAACAAAATTGTAAATACTTTATCAGATATTTAGTTTTCACATATGGTTCAATTTGCTTATAATTTATAATTGATTAAACTAAATGCTTTATATTTTAAATTTCAGTTTACAATTTGCATTAAAAGCTACCGGAGGAGACAAAAAATACACTTGGAATAGTGATGATGT